ATATATATATATATATACATATATATATATATATACATATATATATATACATATATATATATATATTAGAATTTAATTTCTAGAAACCGAATGAGAAAAAGTCCCACCACAAGGCACCTCTATTTATGCTACCATATCTTGTTCCATTACTCTATCTATATTCGTTGCTATCTCTTTCAAAGCTTTTCAAGATTCTTCCCCACCAATGCCATGATCACGACATTGGAAAGCGAAGAAGACAAAATAGTTGACATGCCAATTTAAACTATGCATCGAAATATTCAAATATGATAACTTATTTAAATTGAATCCAAATCAAAATTTTGCACTTAGAATTGGCCTACAAAATTTTCTATCCTTTTCTACTACCCTCCTCTATAACGCAAGGATTATATGAACTTGAGAAAAAATATATATCGAAAAGGAATTTTGGTATGTTTAAGTATTTATTTGATCATGTAAAAAACCACCCACATTGGCCTTTTTTTCTTTTATTATTTTTCTGTAAATATTTATAATTACATTAATCATATAAATTGTGTGTGTGTGAGAGAATTGGAAGCCGCTCTCGGGAACGTAGCGCATAAGGCCTACCCGTTTCGCTTACCTTCTTCTTTGTTATGATCCGATGCTGGGTCTGAGAGTCCTGGTGGGTCCTACATTCTTTTATTTGCAGTCGTGAGGTGGGTAGCCGTGCGGGTATGGTTACCTTCACCATCGACTATCACCATAATGGGCCGCAGCCCAGCAAAGCGCCTTAAGTGCAAGCGGCTTCTAAAGAGTGGCCCATTAGCGCTATATGTTTTATGCTTACCTTTGGAGATGTTTGGGTACTCTTTTAGAATCGTACGTGAGTCCTAGTGGGTCCCACTTTTGTTTCAGTCGTGAGGAGGTAGGTTTTCGGGTGAGTTTCGCTGGCCAAGCCACGTGGTTGCGACCTGGCCCCGTTTCGCTCTCCAGCCTCATCTTCGACTTCCGGAACCATATATAGCCACCTCCGCTTAATTTGGAAGCAAGAAATCCCTAGGCACCAAAATCCACCGCCATGGCCAACGCCGCCGCCTCTCGCCTCCTCCGCCGCGCCCTCAACCCTGCTGTCGCACGACGTCGCTTCTCAACCGCCGCAGTCGCTGCGGAGACCCCTCCGTCTCCTTTGCCTTTGGCTACCGGAGAGGAGGAGGCCGGGATGGTCTCGATGAAGGGCGTCAGGATCTCTGGGCGCCCCCTTTACCTCGACATGCAGGCCACCACCCCCGTCGACCCCCGCGTCCTCGATGCGATGCTCCCCTTCTACCTCTCCCGCTTCGGTAACCCCCACTCGCGCACCCACCTCTACGGCTGGGAGTCCGAGTCCGCCGTCGAGGCCGCACGCGCCAGCGTCGCTGCCTTAGTCGCCGCCGATCCCAAGGAGATCTTTTTCACCTCCGGCGCCACCGAGTCCAACAACATCTCCGTCAAGGGCCTCATGCGTTTCCACCGCGCCCGCAAGCGCCATGTCATCACCACCCAGACCGAGCACAAGTGCGTCCTTGATTCCTGCCGGCACCTCCAGCAGGAAGGGTTCGAGATCACGTACCTCCCCGTCCGCCCCGACGGCCTCGTCGACCTCGGCCATCTAGCCGATGCCATCCGCCCGGACACCGGTCTCGTCTCTGTCATGGCCGTCAACAACGAGATCGGCGTCGTCCAGCCCCTCGAGGAGATTGGCCGCATTTGCAGCGAAAAGGGCGTCGTCTTTCACACCGACGCAGCCCAGGCCCTCGGCAAGATTCCCATCGACGTCGAGAAGATGGGAATCGGGCTCATGTCCCTCAGTGGGCACAAGATCTACGGCCCCAAGGGTGTTGGCGCTCTCTACGTTCGCCGCCGCCCCCGGGTCCGGATTGAGCCACAGATGAACGGTGGCGGGCAGGAAAGGGGTATCCGGAGTGGGACTGTTCCCACGCCCCTCGTCGTTGGGATGGGCGCTGCATGTGAGATTGCGATGAAGGAGATGGATTACGATGGCCGCCGGATATCCGCCCTGCAAGAGAGGCTCTTGAATGGGGTCAGAGCTAAGCTGGATGGCGTAGTGGTGAATGGGAGCTTGGAGCACCGGTATCCAGGGAACTTGAACCTATCGTTTGCGTATGTGGAGGGAGAGAGTCTGCTGATGGGGTTGAAGGAGGTGGCTGTCTCAAGCGGAAGTGCTTGCACAAGTGCCAGCCTTGAGCCCTCCTATGTACTGAGGGCACTTGGGGTGGACGAGGATATGGCACATACGTCCATAAGATTTGGGATTGGGAGATTCACGACGGAGGCTGAGGTTGACAAGGCAATAGAACTGACAGTACGGCAGGTGGAGAAGCTGAGGGAGATGAGCCCACTCTATGAGATGGTCAAGGAGGGGATTGATATCAAAAGCATCCAGTGGGCGCAACACTAATTATAAGGGGATGAGTTCTAGTCCACATACTTATAGGTTGTGGGGAGAATCGAAGCTTCTGGTCCAGGAGAAGTCAAAAATGAGGGGACTGGAGTTTATTAACTGAAGCATTTATCTGTTGACACTCAGGTTCTACATCTCCTCCTCATTATTGCAGGCGATAATGTGTAAAACCCGGTTATCCTGATGATGCCTTAGCACACATGTAGAACAATGCTTGTATGAATAAAATCTTGTGCAGACTAAGTATTACGGTGCTTTTATATGTCAGAAGAGATTTAAATAAAAGGTTTAATTTTATAGCGTCTTACTGTCATCCAAGGCTTTCATGGTAAGATGGCATGCCAAGATGTTTAGTTGTTTGCTACTCAGAATTGCTCTTTAATTTGATTATAATCAGGTCACTGTCACCAATTGTACTTCTAACATAGTATATAATACCTTCTTTGCATATCCTATAAATTGAATACTAGGAATCATAGTATCTTCTTGATTATGTTGTCAGGTATAGCTACACCATAATATTTTATTTTGTTATGTGCATATATGTTTTAAGACTAGTGATTTTTATGTGTACAGGTTTTGTAATGTTTTAGAACTAGACATTTTTTTGTGCACAGGTGTCTATGCCTCGGTTTAGGGGCATTTGCCAATTGGGATAAGTACTTATTGCTGAATTGCTTAAAGAAATAACATTAGAAGGGAAAGCAACTATGTACAGATGATGTATGGGTTGGAATCCATGGTCAGGTGTTGATATAGAGGTCTCTTTTGTTTGCATGATATGCTGATGCAACATAATCACTAGTTCACCTTAGATATGTTCAGCTACATGTTTTGGTTTGAAGATTATAAAATTCTTTAAGAAGTGTTTATTGTCATACAGATATGAAGATGAATATTGTTTTTACATAACCTGCAATTAATTTGTATCTCATTGTTGGTATAATGGTCAGAAATAAATATCTTTGTCATTTTGCGGAGTAGAGATTTTATTTTTCAAAAAGAACAAGTTAATAGTTTTCTAGATCCATGATTGAGTAGTCCTTGTTTTGGTTTTTGGCAATTCTTCTAGGATCAAAATATCTTAGTGCTCAAGTCTTCTTTTTAAGATACCAAAATATTGCTATTAATATGTGTTTTTACTGATGCCTTCATGGTAAGGCTTACAGAGGTGCCAAGAGATACAAGTAGACTTGGGTTTTGTAGTTACTGAAGAGCATAATATTCATTCTGGACTGGCCTCAATTTTTTTACTATACTATAACCTGCCCCGATGGATTGGTTTACTTTCAACGTGAGAGAAAAAACATAAAAACTAGCTAATTTTTATTGGGGTAGCTGTATAATTTACATTGAGGTGCCTGATGCACATGAGTAGTTGATAGATGGTAAGATGATGAAGTTGATGAGGATCATAATTTAAAAGTGAATACTTGATTAAAGTAATTAACATAATTCACCTCTTTAGTTAGGATAAATATGTAATGCTTTAGCCTTTATGTAGGCTGTAGAAAAATAGTTGGTATTTGGTAGATTGCAAAAACAAAAATGATCTTGAGATGTGGAAATAATGGGATCATGGGAAAAATTAGGTTAAATGTTTTACTTAATGAATTATCAGGATTAGAAACTTTGAATCGATTGACGTAATTCCGTGACAAATTGATACTGTGAAGGCCTTCTAGCTTTTATGAAATTCAACTGAATTGAGTTGTAATGTAAAGTAATTAAAGTGGTTTGAATAAAGAGATGAGAAAACTACCTAAATTTCTTGAGGTATAAATGGGGTCACATCTATTTGGAGGAATGAATAGTGGATGGAGTTTGGCCTATTTTTTGTGTTCTGAGGAGTGGAACAGCTTGTGCTAGGTCTTTGCAGTAATATAGTTAATTTTCTTTCGGAGAAAAAATATGGGGTCACATCATGAAGATCCACTAATTATGTCTTTATGATAAATCTTGGAAAATTCTGAAGTGATTAGATCTAATTGTGGTAGATTTCATACTCAGGGATGGTCTCCTTTTTTTGTAAGGCATGGAGATTCTCATAACTAATAAGATCTCTGAGTCATGATAAAGTAGTAAAAATTATCTTTGTTTGAAGTCCCTAGAATTATATTTTTAGGTTAAATTGGGATGCACCCATAAATTGAAGTATGTATATCATATGCATCAAGTGGTGAGACTGTATGTTAGATTTTCTTGAGTATAATTGATTAAATGTCTGTCAATATTTGATGTATAGAAATAAATACTTGTAATTTAGGATGGTGATACATTAATAGTTGACTTTGCAAGAGTTAGATTGCATTAGAGGGGGAATTTGAATTAAAGTGATGCACATAGGATGCAAGTTGCCCGACCCTTGTTCGGAATCAGAACCAAACCATAACTATACCAACTTGGAATTGGAATGAATTGGTGCAATGGTTTGGTGGTTCCAAATTGGGGCCATTTGGTTGGGTTCCGGTTTCTAGACATTTGAACTGGAATCAGAACCGGAATCGGAACCAACAGTTCTGGTTCGATTCCAAATTGGCTAAAAAAAATATAAATAGGTTTCATGTGTAGTGGTTCGCACTTTAAACTTGAAGTCTAATGATTGGGGTTGAAATTTTGGTGGAATAATTTTTTTTTCTTTTTTATCAATTAAAACCGATGGTTCAAATCAGAATCAGAACCACTTGTTCCAGAATTGAAACCGGTTATTTCGGAACTGTGGTTTGGTCTATGTGCAAGGGTGTAGACTTGTACAACAATGAAAAACGATGATGAAGTGGTAGATCCATGGGAAATTATACTAATGGTATTATGACCCTATTCATTAAATACCAAGGAGAACGCCAACTACCAGAAGCAAAGACTTTGTGCTTAGGCATTTTGACAAAGGATCCTATTCATTAAATACCAAGGAGAACGCCAACTACCCTATTCATTGTCATCGCAGATGGTTATTCATAGAAGGAATTGCTGAGCTTGCATGTGGAGATGTTAGTTTGGACAAGCTAAGATGATGGAAGGATTTGTGTGATCCTAACACTGGAAGTAGGGGAAATTGCTGATTTCTATTTATTATTACCAAAACAAAATGTGTAGAGCTAGAGATAAACTAGTGCTAGCCATTGCACTTTCTCTTTAAGGTAAACGATACAATTTCTTTTCAATACAATGTCTTTTTTTCTTTAACCAGAGACAAGTGCTTAAGGGGACTGCAGTAAATTGTGGTTTCTATATTCAAGCGATGGAACAATCAGAGGGCAAATAATCAAATTAAAGCATCTTTTGGTGTAGTTAGCTGCCTACTGGCATTAGTCTTGGTTGAATTGCTACTGTGGATTATCTTGTGCTGTGGAATATCAAACATTAGAAAGACATATAAATACTTTGGTGTATTTTGTGTGTCAGATTGCTTGGATAGTCCAGAACAGTGTTTCTGGCTTGTAAACTTGAGTTTTTGAAATTTTGGTTTCTCTCTTTTCGGCATCTTCCACTTAATAAATAGACTTGTTGCTGAAGTTCTTTACTTATTATCAACAGACTTTTTTCGGACATATTTCGTTGACTGCTTCATGGAAGTTCTATTTTGGTGATTGAAATGATCTCTCATTATGCTCTTAGTAAGCAAATCGTTTTCTTGTCATGGAAGTTATATTTTGGTGATTGAAATGATCTCTCATTATGCTCTTAGTAAGTGTATTGTTTTTTATCTTTATGCACTTCCACACAATTTACATAGCTAAGGTCTGTTTGTTTGGAAAGACAGGTTAAACCTACCTCTTTGCTTCATTAGCTCTCCTTTTTCACTGTGTTGCTATACTGAGAGTTGCTACAGATGAGAGACCCTTGACATGTGTTGCATACAGCTGCATGAACACTGGGTTTTCTGCTTACATATGACTGTATTGTTAGCTGAATGTATTATAGAACATTTTGATTCACTTGACATTTCTGTGGACTGCTAATAGGCGAGTGATATATATCAGTTCTTAGAAACCTTGATTGACCCAAGAGAGTGATATATATCAGTTTGCAGGAAAAAGAATGAGCACTGAGATAGATGTCTGTAGGAGAAGATGAGTGATGGATTTAAGCTTGAAATCTTCTTCCATTGGTATGTGTTCATTAGGAATTGAGGATCGATATTTTGTGGCGAAAAATACATTCTTTGGAGCTGAAGCAACTGATACAGTATTGAGTTGGAGAAGCAGAGGGGTAGAGAAGAGGGGGGGAAAAAAGGAGGCATCTTTGATTCGGTGGCGGTGGCGCCCAGGGATCACACGTCCTTGGCAATTAGCTCGCCGTTGACGAGTTCCCGGTAGGCAGCCACCGGCCAGATGAAGCCCCTCCACAGCAGCCTGGTGGCGAGCGGCACGTCGATGATGATCTCCTTCATGGTGGGCTTCTTGTCGTCGCGGATGGCGATGAGGTAGCTGCGGCCTACCCACCCGATCCAGCCGGCGATGTAGAGGAAGAGCAGGCCGGGGGTGATGAACTCGCCCCAGTGACGCTGATCGCCGTTGACGATGAGGTGGGGCAGCCCGTCGGAGCCGCAGAGGAGACCGAACTTGCCGTAGTTCTCGAACCGCCGCTTGGTCTTCTCGATGGTGGCCTTGATGGCGAGCGCCGGCGCCGAGTCCGGCGCGTACTTATTGAGCGACGCCTCCAGCTTCTTGATCGACTGCTTCTCGCGCTTCGCGAAGGCCTTGGACTCCTTGCAGGGGGTGAGGCCGGAGATGTCGGCCGCGGCTGGGGGAGGCGCAGCGGCAGAGGTTAGGAGGAGGGAGGAGAGCGCCAGGGCTGCGGAGAACGTCTTGAGAGAAGAAGACACGGACTCTTCTCCATGCTGCTGCTGCTGCTGAGGCAAAGAGGAGGAGCAAGAGATGGACAAGCGAAGCCTACAGGTGACAGCTTTGGGAAGCTTTGGGGACAGGGACTTGGAGAGGGTGGGGATGGAGGACAGAGCGGCCATTGCTGTTGCTCCTCCGTCCTTTCGTATCTCTTTCTCTCTCTCTTATCACTTGCGCTCCCTCCTCTCCTGCAATTAATTATGGTCTCCTCTTTCCAGTGCTGAGAGAGAGAGAGAGAGGCGATAAGAGGTGGGAAGGGAAACGGATATGAGTGGGGAGGGGATGGATAAGGTGGGAATAAGAGGGTGAGTCGGAGGAAGGTGATTGGATAAGGCATCGTTATTCATCCTTTGGTCATAGCAATCTCACCCTCGACTTCCCCTCAGCTTCCATTCCCCCCTTCGGAAGTCCCTACCTCGTCCCCTCCCACGTCGACAACAACCACCCCATTCCTCTCCTCCTTGCCCTCTTCGATCTCCACTCTATCTTCCTCGTCCCTTGTCTTGCTACAATATGGTAATGACAAGACAACATATGACAAGGCCTCATAGCGAAGCGATAGATTCTAAGGAAAGAAGAGGGTGACTAATGGAAAAAAAGCAACGATTCTTCTAGATGTTGAGGGAAGAGCTGATCAAGGTATTATCATCGACCATAGTGAGGTTGGAGAGCACACGATGAGGCATATTGATAATGGCAAGTTGCTCCTACCACAATAGTGGAGGCACGACTACTAACTCGATAAGGAGCCGATGGTGCCAAGATTCGACAGCCTAGCTCCATTAATGGAGGAATTAAATCTCATGGAGGCAAAGGAGGACACATGGAGGGAGTGACGATGAAAGCAATGGGTGAAATACCAACTCTGGTGAGCACCATCTGACTTGACCACTATCACATCCTCTTGAAAGTAGGACCTTTGATTGATACTCCAAGTGAAGGGAGTGGGGTTGGGACCTTATGGACCTTATTGTCACGGACTTAACTGGTTTTACTTAAGTCATGCGACACCTTAATATGTGTCTGTAAATGATTAGCTTCATCGAAACCTCTTATAATCCAAGGAGCTACAAAAGAGAAGATGTGTTAGAAAAACATTTAACTTGAGATTCGTAAGTAGCTATTTTAGCAAACATTTGATCGACAATGAAAATCACAAACATAGACTTCACAAGCTCTGAACGATTACACGACAAAGAGTCCAAGGTAGTCCGTCATAGCCAAAAATCCTCACAAGTGCCCACATGAAATTATTGCAAAACAAAGCAACGAACTAGCCCTAGACACTATCCCAAAAGCCCATCCAGTTATGTACCACCTGAGTAACTCCTAGGTGTCGTGCTTACTGATACTCTTTATCACTCTGTGAAGCTAGAAAAACCTCAAAATGACTACTTAAATGGTCTATTTCTGGATAGTTTTGCTTTTACGCGATGACTACAAAAATGTGTTTACAAGCTTGAAATGATCACAAAAGTTAACCAAAATAGAGCTGTCAAATCTACTATAAGTCCTCTATATATTGTGCAAAGCATGAATAAAACCGAAAGATACAAACGTACATAAATATTACATCGAACACCCTACTAACAACTTTGTCTATGACATTCTTCCCCACTTATTCTTTTGACGCCATCGTCGAAGCTTTTAAGAATGTTGCATCTCCTCGTTTTTTGTTAAATCTTTAATTTTCTACTCTAGTTGCAACGCACCTCTTAGCTCTCCACTGCTCTCCATCGCTATTGTTGAGTAGTAGACCTTTGATCTACTATGCTACTTCAACTCGCCAATAATTCTGACTCTGGTACGAGGTTAATAGAATTATGTTAATCCTTAATGGTTCTTTCGGATCCTTTAGATGATAGAAAAAACCTTCCTTGTTATGCACCAATCTTTTAAATGTCTCACATGGCTTAAACTAGTTCGATGTCTATTGGAGTTTTAATAAGCATCACTTCGTAGACTTTATAAAGTTTTCAAAAATTTTCCTTCATAAAATTTGTCCATCGATTCCTTTTCTATTTAATTGTCATCTCCAAATAATTTCGTATCATTTCCACTTTCAATTGATATTTTGTTAGGAAATAAAATGAACAATCTACTCTCGATAGCATCGATCACCATTGACAATGATTTAACAATTATTGTTTTTCACTCGATTTCTTTGAAGGATCTTTGAACATGTGTAGAGCTTTTTTGTTAAACAAATACAAAAATTGGAGTACTCAATTTCACCAATTCTTTTAAGAGTTGAGAAAACAAAGATTACTTAACTTTACCCATCAAGCTGGTTACTAGCCTTCATTTGTTCTTTGCTCACACTTCTAAAACACCTGAAGTGTGCATTCCTTACGGTAAGCTAGCTACTACAATTTGTCTTCTCATTGTCATCAAACTTCTGGAATGCAAAAAATTTTACCTAAAAAAATAAAATTGTCTTGACTTATAATAAATCTCTAATAGTTTTAATCGTCTTCTCCATTATTTCTATCGTCTACTATGAGTAAAAAAGATACAATATCATGTATTACCCACCTCATTCCTTAGTTGAACACTCTGATTCAATCCAAAATCCCTCACTTTTAGCTATTTTGATGAAAAACACGTTAGACGCCAATCTTACAAAACTCCCTTGTCTCTATCATTCAATATTATCTTAGTACTTAAAGTTTACCTTTGTATTCTCTACCCCCTCAATCCCTTTCATGACCAATCACTCTCCCTCTACGAAAACAAAGGATCGATGACTCTACGAAAATCCCACCTCTGCAATACCATAGTGCTCTATGAAAGTCCACTAAAGAAGAAACACAAGTATACAAGTCAGTGTAAACTATGATCAAAATCTGAAGAGAAAGGTAGCAGCACGTCTGATATCATTGCAAACACAACAATATTTCAACACTAGCAAAGGAGAATGTTCGTTACAGAAACATTACATAGCCTAATTGGTTCGTAAACCATCATTCACAACATCATACAGCTGGTCTTAAACTTAGAGTCACTTCATCAAGATAATTGATGATAAAAAATTCATCAAGCAATTCCTAATAGAAGTCCACTTAAAGGCCAATTCCGAACATTTAATTAACTGCAAAAGATCAGCCAACTGTTTACTGGAAATCTGATAATTAAAAATTATGATCCAAATTTGCACAGCATGCGTACCCAGTACTCTTCTCCTCAGCCAAAATTAATGCACAATTTTCACATACAACGGACTGTACCGTTCGATACGCTGTAAACACCAAAAGCCAGTAGTTTATAACTTAGGTGGAATGATGGTAGTCAGAAGACTCGGAACCTTCAGCAAGTATCAGAAATCATGGAAGTATAACAGCTACCATTAGGCACTAAAACATATTTTATGAAAATGAAGATTCATTTAAAACGACATAATCATTTGATAGGAGGATAGGAATCCAAAGGAAATGACAAAAAATTTAAATTGCTCTTAATCAGGTAATAAAGAACATGGGCAACAAAGGCAAGCCCCTTAATTGTATTTCACTCTTCATGGTAGATCTGAGTTTACTCCATCTTTTTTGTCTAAAAAAGATATGAAAAAATGTTCTCTTATTTCTCCCTTCAAATATCAAATCTACTAAGAGTCCCTATTTAACAATACACAACTGTAACAATTTCTATACATGCGAACCTGCCACAGATGAATGACAACACAAGTTCCAATCCAATGATCTCATCACTGACTAACAGGATTAACAGAGTAATAATTGTATTTGTCATAATTCAAGCTCAATCCAATCTATTTTTGTCTTAATTCAACTAAATAGCGAAGTGGCACATCAAGAACTTTTTTAACTACACATTCAGCACCAAATAAATTTATAAAATCAATTTAAAATGCAACTGACAATTCAATACATTAATTAATGATCTAAAGATATAATCAATTTGAATTGAATATACAATTGTAATGTCACATCATAATCATATAAAATGCCATTTAGAATTTGAGTGTCCCATTAGACCATCAAATTACAAAAAAAAAAAAATCCTGAATATCTTTCATTTGCACCCTGTTGGCGCTAACTTGGTGATACTATTAGTAAGAATCTCAGCCCATGTTATATCATTTTTCTTATTTATTTTTTATAAAGATAGTGTTAAGGAGAGATTTGCAATAGAAGGCTAGAACACATCATTTTTTAACTTATAAAAAAATGTGGGAACATATAATGGTTAAAAGATTAAAAAGGGAGTTCAAAGATCTTCATGGTTGGAAGAGGAAGTAATTCAAGAGGATAAAATACAACTAGTAACATGGAGCTTATGGAAAAAGAAAATAACCACAGATGAAAAGAAGAAATGTTTCTTCTCTCTTCTTGCCTCTTCTTTCTATGTTGGCATAGCATTATATATAGATACGAGAGATAAAGCAAAAGGGAGAGGAAGAAAAGAGAACCTGTAAGAAGCCCACACACTTTGTTCCACTATAATATCTAGGGCTGTTGGTTTCTGTTAAGTAAACCTTGAAAAGACAAGAAAAGATCCTTGTTTTCAGTTCCAAATATCTCATCTGCCTTTCTGAGAGTTTCCTGCACAGAAAAACAAGGTAGAGAATGAACAGTATAAAACTGTGGATTCACATAATTAACCATTAGCAATGATCGTTTACACTAATGCCCACCTCACGTGATTGTCTGTGAGCATTAAGCTCCTTAATGTTAGCTAAAAAGGCACCAAACTGTTCATATGAGAGTCGGCTCCTGAAATAGACAAGCTTAAAGTAGGTGGAAAATTTAGCATTATTTGATTCTGTACAGCATGTCCAGGAGCATCTACTTACCTAGCCTGGCGGAAGAATTCTTTTCCATCTACACGAGGCATACGTCCTGAAAATTGATAGAAAATACTAAGAAATTTTTCATTATGCTGCAAGATGATGACTAGACAGGACAGTTTCAGGACTGAAAAATTGAAAACTCATTCAAAAGGTCATAGTATTGGCTTTTCTAAATAAATAGGATGGTAAAATTGTAGAACTGTCTCAAACCAATTTAACCTCATTAGGTTCATGGTGTAACCGCATCTGGAACTTGTTGACTCAAAGTATTTAATGTGAATACATGATTTGTGAATAGTACTCTTAAATATTGCTATTATCAGTGACCTAGATAGTAATGCCCCAAGCTATTAAGCTTCAAACAAATTTATGAACCATAATTATTATTACATAACAAGATATTAAAAAAAATAGAAATGAAATATCCACAGTAAGG